CTTTTGGTTTTTTTTTTTTTTTTTTTTTTTTTTTTACAAGCAAAGCAACGAGCTTTGTAATATTTATCAGCAGCAGCGTTTATGTAGCAAATAAAATTTATTCTTTTTTTTCTTCTTTAAACTGCTAATAGTCAAGACTTACCGTCCAAGTCCCTTCGAGTTCTCGAAGCCTTGAGTTCCTTTTGTAAAAAGTTTTTCTCTGAAATGCAAACAAAAAGATCATCTCGAAAACTGAAAAATCGTCCTTTGCTAAAACCCTTATAAATGTAAAATTAAAAAAAAAAAAAAAACTATTTCTCCCGAAGGAGGTCAAACGTGCGATGATGAACCAAGGGACTGTATAAACAAACAAATTTAAAGAAATATACATCCGCGTGCGCGTATAACGTAATTTAGAAATGTAAAAGAATCGTAAAATCGCGTACTTACGAACAGGCGCGCGCGGCCGAGCTGAGCATGTGGGGATTTTGTTTCGAGTTGACAAAATAATGGTCAACTAGCACATTTTACCGGTATACGGGTACGTGACGCAAGTGTTGAAATAAAACGTGTCAAGAGGATAAACACTATAGATCGGAGTAACTGGTGTGTATATACGGACGAGTAAAGGAAGAAGAAGAAGAAGTGCGTGCATAAGTACACAAATACGTATAAGTAAGTAGTCGCGATACTCTGACGCGAGCTGGAAACGTCGTTCACGGCCTCCGCGTATACAGTTATTTGACCGACTCTCTGAACCAGACGACGAGACTCCCAGTTCTTCCTCTCCTCCTCCTATATACTTCTTCCTTTCTGCATCAAGCGACGCGCAGACATATCCTTCCATTCGCAACGTTCACCTGATGCAGCTATACTTATCCGTCGCGCATATGACCATACGTATATTCTCGCGAATGGTTTTTCTTCGATCCCACAGTATATACATATCGAAGATGAGCAGGGGAGGAAAAAAAAAACTGTCGAGACCTACCAGTGCCACGAAACAAATAGAACAATGTAGCGCGGCATCCGGTGATTTGACCGCGATTGCGGACACAAGGGCTCGTGAAGAAGGTACGAGGAAGAAAATCGGCTGGACAATTAGAATCTGATGGCATGAGCGAGCGAGTCCACAGCAGGAGGTGACTGTCGCTTTCGCTACACCTACAAGTGCGTGCAGAACTCGGCATCGGTCGTAACAACTACCTGCAAGTGAGTTGTAAAGTTCACATGTGGATATAATATACGTACTGCAAAACGCCTCATTGGCGTCGAATCGTTCGACTATGAAGTATCATATATTATATAGGTGCATAACGCGTGTGTAACAACCAACTTTCGCGTTGGCGGAAGATAAATATACGGCCAGCGGCGGCTAAGGTTGTTGTCGCGAGGAGTCGACAGCGTATAAGCACGCGACCACACGGCAACAACCCACCTATCGCTCAATACACTCGTTCGGAGGTATCGGTATCTACAATATTAGTGCCTATATGTATTGTGCGATCGATGTGAAGGCTGCACCAGACGGTGCGGATGCTGGATGGGCCCGGAGCTGCTATGGTATATATACACGTATGTGCACATATGTATAAGAGATTCGAGCCGAGGGAGAAAGTTGGGAAACGTGGGAAAGAGCGATCGTCGATCGGCATTCGGCTCGGCCGCTCCGTATTGCATGCACATGGGGCCGCGCCACATGCATATACATATAACACACACGACCTCTTCTTTATATATGTGTGCAGCTCTCTCGCGCGCGGGTCTCCTTGAAACCGAGACCCGACGAGGCACCTGCCGCTACACTGTCGCTTTTGCGAATAATTTGCCCCGAAACTATATACTCACCCGCGCCGATCGGCAACGATCTTTGGTGTGAGACTTTAACCGATCGCTCGGGTATGTAGCAATGATCGATCGAGGACCAAAAATAATGCGAGAGAGAACGAACGGAAGCTCATAATGCCTAATGTGCTCCATTACAATATAATAGCCGAGAAGTACCTCCATAATGTACATATACGACGGCCGAGCGAAATTAATATAAGAAAGTCGATCTCTCCAGAAGTTTGGTTTGGCGAGCTCGGCGGGATTTCACGCGCAAGCGTCGGGGGGGAGGGCACACGCGCCAAGTGAGAGTTTATTCGAAAAGTCGCGGCTGGTCTCTCTTGTGTGTGCGTCTCGGGTGGTGGTGCCGGTGCAGATCCGGAATCCGGAAAAGAAGGAGCGTTTGGAATGTGGCACATAATGGTTGTGTGTTTGCCAGTACGTATAGCCCCCCCCCCCCCTCCTTCTCATCGGTATAGGTTCGCCGCTTTGCGTGTTTATTACATGTATATGTAAGTGGCCACGCATCGATACACACACACACACACTTGGCACGAGGAGTAAAAGTATCGAGGGTGAAAGCGCTGGCGCTTCTTTGAGGCTCCCCCCGATGCCTGGATACGTAGCTATAGGATCGCCGACATCATTATCGTCGTCATCATCATCATCTCGGTAATGACGTAGGATGTACCTGATGTACACGCGACGCTCTGGGCGCTCTCGACACTGATTTTTGCTCTCGAATTGTAATTTCGCGAGGCTCGCTTCGACGACGAAACCCCGAGACACTTTTTTTTTTTTCGCGGATTTCTCCGCTCCCGCATTGTTGGGGTGTCGCGTGTATAATCATATATATATACAACGAGCGGAGCTTACTCGCCTTGATCGACTGATTGGCTTTACTCCCTTGAACGTTTGCACTCAAGGTATTCAACAATCACATTTTGTAGGAAAAAAAAAAAAAAAAGCATAACTTGTATATCCACGACACGCCTTTTTTGGCTTTGTCGATTAACATGGACACCGTACCGGGTGACGTTTATTGAGTTATTTCGTGGATTATGATGATGGCCGGTCCAAGAATAATCACGGAGTTTTTAAAATATCACGCGCTCGTTGGAGTAACCTGGAAATTATATGCGAGAACGAAATCGAATTTCTTTTTTCGTATGCTTCGTTGGAATGTGGCTCAAGTATCATTCGAGACTCAAGGAAACGTATGTGGCACCTATAAGCCGCTCATTTTTATACAGCGACAAACCCGGAAAGTATAATTTTGAGGAAAGAAAAAAAAAAAGGCGGGGGGGAGAGAAATATTGAAGCGCGCAAGTGAAACTTTTTCACGGATCGTCGGACTTTTACGCAACGGGCGAAGCGTCGAAATCACCGCAGCTCTTCGAATTGGTATACCCTGCATGCGCCGGGTAACTTACACGCTCGCGTTGTTTGCACGCATGGCGAGAGCAAAAAGGAGAGGACTCGGGCAAAAAGGCAAAGCAGAGGGAATATAAGAAAGTACCGAGAGATAGAGAGAGAGAGAGAGAGAGAGAGAAAAAAAAACGAAACAAGAAAAAACGAAGCATTATTGCTACAAGGCTCGGCGACATATTCAAATATACAACGTGTATTATTGCAAGTCAGTATAGGTATGATACACCCATGCAAGAGCACGCTTGGACGCTCTGTTAGCCAGCTAGAACATTGCACGTAGGTATATAATACACCCACTTATGCATGTGACCAAAAGTATAATGCTATACGTAGGCAGGCGCGTCGAGAACACAGTCCATAATATGTTGTACGAACACCATATAAATATCTGCATGGGTAGTCTATTAGGCTACTCGCGTTCGCATTATCAATGGATATATATAT